GTCCTTGGGTCTTTGTACTTCTTGCTTATTGGGAGAAAAATGCACAGAAGCTAGCCGCCTATGTAGATGTGCACCCTTCAGTCTGGACTGAAGTTTTAAGGAAGCGAGCCTAAAAGGCTGGTCTGTGGGCAGATCAGAATCCCATCCAAGGATGGCCTGGGGATACATTGCTTCTGGAGCCGGAACATGCAGGGGTATAGGTATAATAGCCGGGCTGCAATGTTTACCAGGGTCCAGGGCATTTCAGGCAGCTGGGAAACTAACTAGATCTTACTGGTAAATGTTTCTACTCATGTTTTGCAGCTGATCTCAGAAGTCAGGGAGGTAGGCTTTGCATGAGAATATAGTTTCCTGGAAATAAGGTGTTCTACACTGAACAAGCTATATTCTAATTTCATTTATAATATTATAAACTTGCTTGATGCTGTAGTCCTTGCAGAATTTTAAGCAAATGTTTGATGTTCTACTGACACAATAGCAGATCAATAAACTGAGTTGCCAAGATGCTGGAATTTAACAACCCAACAAAATTATGTAATATTTACTTCATTAAAGCAAAGCAAAGCTCCCAATTTCCCTTTCAATGTCAGAAAATACATAAAGCGCACTTCAAAACTGAGTGCCTGAGGAATTTTTGCTTATATAACTTGTTGAAGGAGTCACAATCCATTCCAGAAGAGGATGGAAAAAAAAAACCCCAACAACATCACCTGGGTTCCTTCTCTGGCAGTCCGAATTTAGTTTGTCTCAGCTGGGACTCGAACATTAGCTTTCTACAATTGCCTGTGAAATCCTAATATGCGGTGAAGGCTAAGGGCTACTGTTTTAAGTGCTGGGAATGGCCAGACCCAGCCAATCATAGCAAATGCCATTTATAATTTCAAAGGGAAAACCTATTGCTTCACACTTCTGCAGGCATAGCACACTATGGGAAAGAATCACCCAATGGGAAATGCAGAGTTGGCTTTGGGTTGATAGAGTTTTGGACCTGAATTTCCTTATTAGGAAAATGGCATCATTAACTAGATTTGTAAGAATTCTTCCAACTTTGACATTCTTTGCTTCTTTGCCTGTGGTTCTTTTCTTTCTTTTTCTACTTACGTATTTGAATGGGAGGCAAAGGGAGAGCGAGAGAGAGATCTGCCATTTACAAGAATAACTTCCCAACAACTGCGGTGGGGCTAAACCAAAACCAGGGGTTGGGAATCCCACCTGCATAGTAGAGACTCAGTTGTTTGAACCATTATCTGCAAGTTCCCAGGATGCACAAAACAGGGAGCTGTGATAAGGAAGGAAGCTGAGACTCAAGCCTAGGCACTCTGATATGAAGTATAGGCATCTCAAGTGGCATCTTCATGCTGCATCAAATGCATGTTCCATGTGTTTCCTGACCTGCTTAAATAAATACAGGTGCCTGGCTTCACCTTTAGGCATCTGAATCTGACTGCTCTGGGGTGAGGTGATACAACAGTGTTGCAAAAGCTCATGCAGATGATTTCAATGTGCTGCGAGACATGCACATCTGTACTCTCTGCTGAACGAAAAGTCTTTGAAGACAAAAGTGGAGATCTGCATAGGACTGTGCACATCTGTATGTAGGGGGAGCTGTGTCTGCACATAAACAGAGCGTGGTGGGAGAGGGTGGTGGGACTTCACACACTGTCTTGTATTAATTCAGGAATACAGAAGTAATGCCAACACATATGTCCATATTGTCTTAATTAGCCCCTGCTGGTTATCCTGTGTGCATTCAAGAAGCAAGACCAAGTGTCTGGGATTGCAGCCCATTATGATTCCCTGTTGGTTCCAAGGAATGAGTATGACAGGTAAGATGGTTTGGAACAGTATCAACTCCCAACACTCACACACTGGAGAAAATGAGTTCAGTTTCATCTAGCAGTTGACATAGATGGTATCACTTAATTCTCACAAGAGTGAGATTAATTTTCTCTGTTTTGAGACAGAAAACCTGAGACTCAGGAAGACAAAACAAGAAAATGGTGGTTGCCAATATTCTAACCAAACCTTTAGACTTCAAATTCCTTTTCCTTACTCTGTTTCTTACCTGCTGAGGAGGCAAGGTAAGGGGTGTGGCAGAAGAGGGCATACACTTTGTTTGTTGATAAGGAAGGAAAATGGGCTATTGGTGCTTAGTTTTTCCTTCATACCCCCACAGAAAGCGCAACCCATGGTTGTACCATGTTATAATGGAGGCAGCAAACCTGAACCAGAGGAAGACAAATAGGGCACAAGCCAGGTGCAAGGCCAATGACAAGGAAACCATAAGCAGGCCCATGCTAGACTTAGCTGGCACCCTGATTCTGAGCAAAGCAATCTTATTTTTCTGGATTGTCTTTCCACCTTTTAAAGTCAGTAACACTGCCACTGAGATGATAATCTTCACAGGAGCCAGAAAGGAAGGATCAAGGGCTGAGACATAGAGACTCTGTTGCATACATGAGAACTATTAGGTTTGACCCACAGTTTTCATATGTGCCTTCAAGAGGCTCAACCTTTTCCTGAAGGTTTGAGTACCACTAGTAGGCTTGGCAGGAGGTGACAGCAGTGCTTCTCACACTTTCAAGGAGCCTCAGAATCACCTGGAGATTTTAATACAAACATAGCCTGCCCAGCCTCACTCTGAGCACTTCCCACTCAGGAGGTCGGGGGTGGCCAGAGAATTTGTGTTTCTAACTAGCTCGCAGGTGACGCCGATCTTCTGGCTTGGGGACCACACAGCGCAAACCCCTAGATTAGATGAACAGTTCACTCGGGCCATGGATACACAGAAGCCTGAGCAGTCTGAAACATGCTGTATATCTCGCCCATTGTGGAGCCCACAATGCCGTATTTAATGCCATTCGACAGAAACAAATCCCTGCTAGGGCACAGCCTGATTCTTTGTTCCCTTAATTCAGGCACTCCTAAAAGCGATCATTGCTGACATTCTCATATATCCATGCAATGGAATCTTAGTCCGTTCTGATTCACACAGTAATACAGCAGTAAAGGAAGAATTCCGGGGAAGCAGGAAAGCACAAAACAAGCTTAGAAAAACACGGAAAAGCAAATTCAACTTTAGAACGCAGTATTCCACATAAAGTGAAAAGTTTATGCTGAAGTGTCCTAACCCAGTTCACAGAAAATTTGCCCTGTCGGGCAGGGAGTACAACTTCAATGCAAGCCAGGTGGGGTGGTTTACAAAATTGTGTACTGAAATGTAGACAGTATACTTTACACCCAAACGGTTGTAAGGTTCACCACTGGGAGAGCTAAAATAGTAACACATTTATCAATGTGTGAAAGTTTATATTCGATACTGAGCATGTCCAACTCTTGAATAAAAGTAACTAATCTGTTGGGGCTGGTTCATAAAAGTCATCTTAGAGTTATAAAACATTTTTGAGGTTTTATTCATAATAATGCTAATAGCTTCCTGAAGAAAGATTTGAAGACTTCAAATGAAAATATAATGAATAACTCTATGCTTCTCCCCCAAGCACTTGAAAACTAAGAGTTTCTAGAATGTTGTGAAGGCTGAGTTTAGCCCTTCCTTCAGCGGCTCTCCCTCTCTGCCCTCTTCTGTTTCAAAGGGATCCTGTGCACAAAAATAGCCTGAGGAAATAAGGAGTAAAAAGATCAAGCTGTTTATTATGATTGTCTATTCAAGAAGCTAGATGCCATATCATATAAGTATAATGAATGAGGCCATTTTTATAACCATTCCATGCGCCTGCTATCTTGAACTGGCTCTGACTAAATTGTGTGGGTACTGAGAGTTCAGATAAGTTAAAAAGATACACAAAGGATCTGGACCCTTCTTTATCCAGTTAATGTAATCTATCTTCGAAGGCAGCAAGCAGCTTAGGCTTTTGAATTAAGCTCTTGTTTGGGTCCTAGTTTGGCCACCTGCCAGTCATGCTTTATAAGCTGAGGATGACAATGCCCACAGCCTTTAACAAAAGTGAGTAATAACATGAAAAAAAGAAAAAAAAACTACACACAACGATTTAAAACAAGTGCTCAATATAGGATAGTTCTAACCACTTTCTTCCGATTTTTCTTCACTTACAATAATTTAGGCAGAGATTCAGTTCCTCTCTTATGGTAACTACCTTCTCTTTTAGGTAGTATAGATTCCAGGGAAGAATATTTAAACTGATCAGTATCCCCATGGTCTCACTTTCATTAAAAGTAGTGTTAATTTAGGGCCTGACACAGCAGCCTAGTGGCTAAAGTTCCCGCCTTGCACGTGCCACGGTCCCATATGTGTTCTGGTTCATGTCCCGGATGCCCCACTTCCTTTCCAACTCCCTGCCTGTGGCCTGAGAAAGCAACAGAGGATGGCCTGAGTGCCTGGAACCCTGTGCCCACATGGGAAACCCAGAAGAAGCTCCTGGCTCCTGGCTTTGGATCTGCTCAGCTCTGGCCACTGTGGTCATATATGGAGTGAACCAGTGGATGGAAGATCTTTCCTTCTGTCTCCTTCTGTCTTTGTAAAATCTGCCTTCCACATGAAAACAAATAAATCTTTAAAGAAAAAAAAAAACAAACACACAAATGGAATCTGATTTTCCTTACTACTACCCCAACTGTGTCATAGATTCTGTCCTTCACTCTGGGCTAAAGCATCTTGGGAAGAGCTCATCACACAGCTGCGGTGCATCATTGGCTGGAAACTGACAGGGCATCCTTTTCATCACTCTTTGAAAACCAGGTAACAGGAGTCCCAGCAACTTTCTCCTCAGAACCAGTGTCTTTGGGTGAAGAACTTTAGAAATTTGTCTGAGAGCACCATCTTTTTCTTTCTTTTTTAGCAGGGTGCCTAAGTAGTCATGAAGAGGCCCGGGGGGGAACAGTTAAACACTTCTGTTAGCAGAAAGATATCACAGTGCCCAGAATAAAAAGCCCATATCAATAAACATCTACATGACATAGGTCTTTGAAATTAGAAAGGTATGAATGCACGATTGAGAAGAAACAAGTGTGATGCCACTCACCTGCCCAGGCTGTTCACAGGCTGTCTGGTACCTGGCCTGTTGGCATAGTTCCTTGACCCTCTCATACTTGGGCAAGTGATTTGACTGTTGGATATTCTTGCTGGATTCTTCCTTCTTACGTAGAAATTTGCTTTGACACAAATGGGAAAACTTGTTAGGCGAGATGAGATCTGAATGACATTCCCAGAGGCCTGCTTGGTCTCTTTTTATTCCCCGTCCAATGACTCCATGTTTTTCAAACGGCAAGAAACAGATGTTAAGTGTTTGTAGACAGAACTTCACGTGGTGCTCCCTTTGTGAATATTGGAAGTTGAAGTGCAGGGAAGACGAAGGGTCAAGATAAGAAGGAGTCATGTGCCACAAAAGCACTCATTTTAAAACATTGGACATAAATATTTGGTGTTACATGTTCAAAGGCTTTTTCTAAAAAAAGGAAAAAAAGCATTCCTGTCTCCTACTTTATGTATAAAGGAAAATAAGGCATTGGACCTTATGAATGAGAAGGGGAGACCCAGGAAAGACTAAAATAGTTATAACAGTATATTCATATCATTAATAACATAAAAGGCACATGAAGAAAAGTAACAGAAAGTAGGGAACCTAGCAAACCTTGGCGGCCATGTAGGGAACAACTTGGGGAAAAACAGTCAGGAAAGTCAACCAACTGGTGCAATTAGCCACGACTGAGCAATGCAACAGTAATTGCGTGCCCACGTCAAAGGTTTGGTTCCAACTTACGAGAATTTATTCTTCACAATTCTCTGCAGCAACAATTACTCAGCTGGCTGGTAGAGAATAAGCAGCAAACCATTCAATCTTGCAACTAGGCTTACGAAATCTGCATGCTTTGAAAACCAAAATAAGGAGGAGAAAAATTCCCAGCAGGGAGAGCTGCCCACTAGGACGAATTCCCAGAAGTACCCCAGGAACCAATAATTACCCTCTTTCCACTAAGAATGTATCACGCCAAATTTTGGCCTTCTTGTTTGTTCGAAACCTGAAAGCAAAATAATAATATTTACTGTTGGCATCTGACATCTTTCTGAATGGATCTGTGCTAACGGTTTATTTAAAGAAACACCTCTCACTTCCCACAGACCATGACTGCACCTCCATCAGAGCGTTACTCACCAACAGCCAAGAAAGACTCAACACGGGGCGAGCCTCACAGGAAAAATTTGTTTTGCCTCTACTTTTTCAGCTGCGGGTTTGCTCTGGATGCCAGCCAGAGCTGAGTGTGCTTAGCAATGGCTGAGAGAAGAGACACTGACGCACCTGTTACCTGGCTTTTCCGGGTCCAGCAGTTTGAGAACAGACTTGCCATCCACATCGGGAGGTGTGTCGAGTCCGGCAATATCCAGGATGGTGGGGGCCAGGTCGATGTTGAGAACTATCTGAGGGACTCTGCCAAAGACCAGGTGGTTACAGTCAAATGACAGCCAGCAGAGGGTGACGTTCATGGGACTTCCACTCCTCTCACCCGCCCTTCTGGTCCCCAAGGAAGGGGCAGCAGCAGCATTTGGCCAGTGTTGGTGATGCTCAGCCGCAATGGCAGTGAGCAAGATGAATAGGCTCTTGGGTTGTTCCCTGCTACATTGCCAGGGAAAATGTGGCATAGTAGATGGACTGTGTAGGAACTATACTTTCTTTAAAACCTAATGGTTTGCAACTCCTGTACTGAACAAAGGTTTGCCATTCAATACTCTCAAAGGAACACAACAGTTTGTACTGTTTTAATCCAATCCATGCCACCTAGTCCTTCAAACAGAAAACCTTCTACTGATGTCTGTCATTGCCAGGGTGTTTCCAAAGCTCCTACCAGACATAATGATCTCTCAAAGAAACTCTGTATCCCTCACCCCCTCTGTCATCCACTCCCCAGGATGCAGCATGATGCAACAGCAGATGAGGTGTGTATCTGGGATCTGGGCCCTGGAACTGCCGCTTTCAGAGTTAGAGAGTCTGAGAGAGGCCCTCCAGCTTCTCCTTTGTTCATCCACAGGCAGGTATTTTTGAAGAGTCATTCAGGCTATTTCTATTCTTACTTTTTTTTCTGTAATTCTTTCATGTACATAGTCCTATTTTTAAAAAATCTACTTATGTGGGCCCGGCGCGATGGTGCAGTGGTTAAGGTCCTTGCCTTGCACGCCCAGGATCCCATATGGGCGCCGGTTCTAATCCTGGTGGCCCCGCTTCCCATCCAGCTTCCTGCCTGTGGGCCGGGAAAGCAGTTGAGGACGGCCCAAGGCTTTGGGACCCTGCACCCGCATGGGAGACCCAGAAGAGGCTCCTGGCTTCGGATTGGCATAGCATCGGCCATTGCGCTCACTTGGGGAGTGAATCATCGGACAGAAGATCTTCCTCTCTGTCTCTCCTCTCTGTATAAAATAATATTTTATTCCAATAAAATAAAATAAATCTTTTTAAAAAAATCTATTTATGTGAGAGCTAGAGCTTCCATCTGCATTCTTGCTCCCCAAATACCTGCAACATTCAGGCCTGCATCACTGTGAAACAAGGGGTTGGGAACTCAATCCAGGTCTCCCTGGGGTACGGCAGGGGCACAGTAACTTGAGCCACTGCCAATACTTTCCAGGATTTGTGTTAGCAGGAAGCTGAAATCAGGAGCCAGAGTAGGGATCAAACCCTGGTATACTCTGAGGAAGAATGCGGGCATCCTAACCAGAATCTAAACCATTGGGCAAATGGCCAACCCATGATCCATTGAGCACAGCCGACTGATATGACTGGCAAGGCTTAGGAGACCCAGCTGTAACCTGGGGACATAGATGAAAAGGGGTGCGGTGATTGGCCTGGGACATTAGAAATTTAACTCTTCTTGTCTTTTACGTTTCTTTTTCTTCAAAAGAATATAAAACTTCTTAGATTTTAGTCTTAAAAGTTTTTTTTTTCCCTTAATAACACTTTTTAAAATGGGAAACAAGTAGATTGGCATTGACGGTTTTTAACAAAATAATGACACTGTAACACGGAGTGAAGGAGTGATATTGCCGCAGGTCACGTTCTGTCTGTGTACCTGTGCCAAAAGACATGGGTTCTGGTCAATTTGGGAGAATCAGTCACTGACACAGCTATTTTCTCTTTCCTTTTAAATGGTATACTTCAGTTCATTTAACATGGGGCTGTGAGGAAAAAGGTTTTCATTTTCTAAATTACCAACCTATATACATCCTTCTTTGTTTTCAGATGAAAGGAAACCAGACACTGAGATTGGTAATCAAATTATTTTAGACACACATGAGATCTGACAGCTGAGAGTTGCAAACAGAAATACGTACATTGATCCTGGTTCTACGCTTGGACCACGAATAAAGAAAGGCACACGAATATCAAAGTCATATGGCATGGATTTCCCCTTGACCAGTCCAAATTGCCCAATATGGTAACCGTGGTCTGCGGTGTAAATGATGTAAGTGTTCTCCAGCTCCCCCGTCTCCACGAGCATGTTATACAGCTGAAACATAGCACAGAGACAAGTCAGAGCCATGTGGCAGCCGGAGATGACACTTCACAGTACTGCGTGACTTCCCCCAAGGGTCTCTCCGATGACTTTCAAAAGCCGAGAGTTACTAGAAGAAGGCTCACACATCTGAATTCCATCCACAGTTTTTGTTTGCTTACAGCTCCATTGAAACAAAGTGTAACTATTTTGAATCTGGAGCATTCCACTCACAGGTTTTGTTCCTCTGTTGGGTAGATGAAATGCACAAATAAGCACATACCCTCCTCCAACCGGCCAACAAAACTCTTACTGCTGAAGTTTATAGGTTTTAAAAAAACTCACTGGTAAAGCAAATTTTAGTATCATCACTTGGTTATCTAATTATCTAGGGTCAACATCAGGCTGCTTCTGAGACAGATGGGGCTAAGTCCATCCTGGGGCACATCTAGTTTGAATTATATTGTGTTTGACAAGCTGAAGATTCAAATTTGTATTTCCAGCTTCTTTTAAAACAACAAGAAACTTACTGCTACTTGACTCATATTTCTTCATGGCAAAAATTAGCTGGAGCTGAGTAGCTGCTACTGGCTTTAGGTGGATTCTTAATGTCAAGTTTACTACAATCCCCACTATTTCCTGTCATCTTAAATGGACCTGCTTTGGGCCTGGTCAGTGGTTTAGCGGCTGAATCCTTTCCTTGAATGTGCCATTATCCCATGAACATCGGTTTGTGTCCTCCCTGGCTGCTCCAGTTTCCCTCCAGCTCCATGTTTGTGGCCTGGGAAAGCCCAAAGCTTTGGGACCCTGCACCTATGTGGAAACCCAGAATAAGTACCTGGCTCCTGGTTCTGGATCCACTTAGCTCTGGCCTTTATGGCTATTTAGGGAGTGAACCAGCAGACGGAAGATCTTGCTCTCTGTCTCTCCTTCTCTCTGTAAATCTGTCTTTCAAATAAAAATAAAATAAACCTTAAAAAAATGGACCTGCTTTAGCTATTTACATTATGAGGCCAATTTTGAACAGGATGTGAGAGTATGGCCTCTAATTTACAATGTTTTCATTTTTTTTTATCCTCATTGTTACTGGCTTCATGGCAACCACATATGGAGAGGTAGACGGGGCAAGGAGAGGCTGAGAAAGTCACTGAATTCTCCCTCTGTGCCTCTGTGTGTGTGTGACTCTTGTCAAGGCTGCAAAATAAAAAGACTAAACAGTTAGCAAGAATGAATTTGCACAAGAGAAGCTGGACCAAAACCTCTCCCGGCGGCAGCTCATGTGCTTACCCTCTCCACAGAGTCATCCACTGACATCAAAGTCTGAAGTCTTTTGCGCTGTAGGACATTGGTAAACTCCATGTGGATGGGCAGCATGGGGCCCGTGTACTGCATAATCCAGTGTTTATCCATATTTGGTGCATAGTTATAACTAGGCGTTCTGAAAATAGGCAGAAAGAAATCTTACTGTATAGCTCCTCATCATTTTGGGAAACATCTCAAGTTAAAGGTGGTAAAATATCTGATAGATAATTTAGATTCTGCACAAGTATTTTTCTTCTCTTTGTGGCTATGGCAAGATCTGATGTGTTCCCCATGCTACATAGTATGTATCTTCCCTGATGTACATTACTTCAAACTTCAAAAACCAAGACTGTCATTGTTGCAAGTTCCTTTGAGTTTGCTGAATAAAATGTGTAGGAAGAAAATCAAGATAATTACTATTATGTTACAAATCTACCGGTAAAACTCAGCCATATAGAAGGAAATGTTCTCATGGTGAAGTTAACTCATAAAAATTTACTGCTAATTAGGCTATTAAGGGTAGTCATAAACATGTTTATGTGAAATGATGATGAATCTTAATTTCAACACTTTTTTTCCCTGAATTTATTAGAGTGCTTCACTGATTACTTACATACCTAATCTGTATGAGTTTTTCCTACTTTTGATCTGAAATATAAATACCCTTAATCTAATTGCACATTACTCAAATTATAAACAAGTCTGAAATATATGTGCTTATCAATAAAGCTATCCACTCAACAGACAAATCAATAGGAATGAAGGATATAAACCTTATTAATTACAAGGAAGTGAGTCCTTTTATAGGATAGATCGGTTGAAGACTGAGTTTAACCTACTTCAGAGATCCAAGTGTGTCTCATGAATTCTGTTGGGAACACACAGAATATGCTTGCTTTGCTGGAGTTTAACGAAATTCTTTGGACATTAAATCCTGCTCTTGCTCCAAATGTACAGATCTATACTAGGAAAGTTCTCAGAGAATTATCTACTCCTATTTGAGCTCTCTACCCGTCTATAATAAGAATAAGACAGCAGAGCTGCTTAATGTTAAGAACTTGCTGTTCCACCAATTGTCAGGTATACATGAACTCTTTTAACGACCTTAGTTCTGGGAAATATTTTTATTATTCCCATTTTACAGTTGAGAAAATAGCTGAGAAAACCATGCTTAGCAAAGTTAAATGGCTTTTCCAGATGAACACAGTTATTAGGTGGTAGGGCAAGAACTGGGTCTCCAAACCAAATTGCTTTAACAACATGAACATAAAGAGAAGTGAGAGGTGCTTCCTCTATCAAGGATTGCTTTTCACGTGAACCCGTACTTTACAGAACACTCTTCTAGAACAAGCAATAGTCTAGGTTGAATGAAAAGTTTGACTGCCTGTCTCTGTTCTGGGGGAGAATCTTATCCATGACAGGCTGTGAACAGTGATGATACAAAAGGGACCTGGGCCACCACTAATATTATAAAACTAGAGGAGCAATCAGGCACTCTGAGTCCAGATCCCAGGAATCTTGATTGAGTGAGCCCTTGGCTCTGCAGTCCTGGTGGTGGGGGGGGTGAATTTCCCTCGGAGAAAACGTGAAACATTTGGGACATAGACAGATACTGGGAAATGTCCATGTGCAATAAGCCATGTGAATGCCACCCCGGACGATCAGTGTGGATGCTGGTCACCTGGTGGAGTGAAATAGCACAAGCACAACATGGCATTTAGCTCAAATGACACTTCTCCGAAAGTGTGCCACTTACGCACAGAAGTGGAAGTCAGTTCTGCCAATTTATAAGGCTGGCTTTCTGAGGTGGGAAAGGGGTGTGGCCCAATGTGCTCAGGGGTAAATGGGGCTAAGAGCACTCCTCTTCAGATGCAGGTTTGAGGAACAACTACACACACAGAGATCATTTAAACAGGCCTAGAACGAGTGCAGATGTTTGACTTCAGCAGTTAAGACACTGCTTAAAATGCCCTAATTGGATGTAGAAGTACCTTGGTTACTGTCTCCTTTCCTTTACTTACTATGCAACTTCCTGCTGACACACCCTGGGGGAGAGGAAGCAGATTATGGTAACTGAAGTGTTTGATTTGCTGCCAATCACACGGGAGACCTGAACGGTGTCTCAGGCTCCTAACTTCGGCTTGGTGCAGCCCTTGCCATTGCTAAGCGAAGCACCTGGCACAGAAGATCTCTGTCTTTCTACCCCCCAGAAAAAAAATGCCCAGAACACACACATGAGTCTTCTTCACAGGCAACAGTGGCAAGCCTTATATTCCTACACTTGATCTTTGCCAAGAATCCGAGAAGTGCTAAGCCTTATATTTTTAAGGGCCGTTTTTGCATTTCTAACATCATTAGCAGGCCATATGAATTTATCAATTTTAAAAACTAGTCTGCTACCGATGATTGGATTTCAAGCCTGCCTGCAGCTTGCCTTTGCAGGGCCAGACCAAATGATTTCACGGGTTTTATGCGACCTGTGGGCTGGATGTTCCCAACTCCTGCACTGAATCCATTTTGTCTAAGTACCTGAGGATGAAAAATTCCTTAGTATTACAAGTCAAACTCTTCACCTATCATCTCCTATTTTTTTTTTTAAAGAAAAGAGTCCAGCAAAAACTTTCTTCTATCTTGTGAGTAAAGGAGTAAACTGAATGGTCTAATGGTCTTTTTTTTTTTTTTTTTTGGCCTGAAAGAGCTGCTCATGTTGCCAAGTAAAGCAAGGAAACCACAGTCAGAAGGGAAGGAGGGATGGCCCCTAGCCACGTCTCACCTCGCCTTACAAACAGGATCAGATTAAGAGGTCGAGAAGGAGGACAGAGGGCTTCTAAATCCCCTCGCAAAGGGCTTTTCACCCATGGGGGTAGTTTGAGGTCAGAAAAATACAGCCAGTTGGTTGTGAAAGGTCTCCTAGCCATTTACTGATTCGTGCCCTGAAAAAGAATACAGCTATGAAAGATTACCCAGGGTTTCTTTACAACACCCAAACATCCTCCTCTCATTGCCTTTGATGTTGGGTCGGCTTAATTTAAAAATAAATCCAGTTAGCTTTTTTTTTTAAAAACCACAAAACCTCAAGACAAATAAAATTACAATAGGGAACCGAAATGCAGGCTCATGGTGGGTAAATTATATCTTCCACCAGTTACCTTGATGTGCTTGGCATAGCTCCACCTCACTTAGAAGACCAGGAAAGGTTGTAGCAAATTACAAGCCTCAAATTGGACTCCTGGATTTCCAGAATGACATATGTTAAATCTGGTTTATATTAAAAGAGAGAGTTCATGGCCTGTTGTCAAAGCTGTATTCCTCTCCCCCTCTTCCCTTCTCTTTATTTCTCTATATGGGAGATGACCCCCAGCTCTGGGGATAAAATCCCAGGTGGGATCCCAGCAGGCAGCAGAAGCAGGGGCATATGTCTGCCTTTTAAAGGGAGACAGGCTGCCATTGCGCCCTAAAGAGCAGCAGCTGTTTGGGGACCTGCAGGTGGAAGGTCAAGGGGTCACTGGAATTGACAATGTTGTTGAAAAGCGATTTCTTGCCAAAGACCCGTGGTTGCTTCCCGCTGAGGTTCTGCCAAATTTCTGGAAGATGCAGCCCTCTCCTCTCCCCCTTAGTGATAATTAAGGCTTGCTGACTTAGCTAAAGGTTGACTTAAAATTCTTTAAACAGGGTCGGGAGCTGTCAGACAGGACACAGGTCTGATGATGGAGGTAGGCAACTGTTGGAGGGGAAAGGTGGAAAAATCACATGTCCAGTGATTCCAGAATGCTTTGAAATCAGATCTGCATTCTCATTCCACTTCTGCTACTTGCTGGTATGTGATTCTGGATTACACTTTTTTTTAAAAATGTAAGCCTCGGTTTTCTCATCTATATAATGGGCACAGTAATTTCAACAAATACTTATCAGGGTTCTGAGAGAGTATCTTGGTCATTTTATAGGGTTGTTGGGAAAGAGCTTATCCTTAAACTGTTTGCTAGACTTTTATGGCAACTCTGAGTATGCAGGGCATCCTATTTTCATTTTAGCAAAAAAGAAAAAGTGTATACTGCACAAAAGTGGCTCAAGAACCCTCTGGGGACAGCACGGGAACAGCATTTCTTCTGTGATGTCACAGGGACCACGGTCCTGAACCATGAAAGGCTTCTCCTATCTCAATGAGCAAAAAGAAAACATAGTACACGCATTTCTTCCTAACGGAAGTCAGCCCTAAAACTTACAGCCTAATCCTGGCATCTGTTTCCTATTCCAGTGCCTCCCACCCGCTGCTGAGGATCCACTTCTGTTGCAAACACAATCTGACTCTTCAAGACACACAGAACCCATCAGTGGAAATCTAGATCACATTGGTCTTCAAACTGAGAGTGTAAAAGACCAGACTGCTGTGGGGATGTTTCTGCTTTCTTCAAAACAAAAAAAATTAGGGTGGGCCTTGTGGTGCAGTGCGTTAAGGCATCACGTGGGATGCCTGCATCTCATTTGGGAGTGCACGAGATTGAGTCCCACCTCTGCTCCCACTCTAGCTCCCTGCCAATGACTCTGGAGGGCAGCAGATGGTGGCACAAGGACCTGTGCTCCTCCCACCCATATGGGAGACTCAGATGGAGCTCCTGGCTCCTGGCTTGGCCTGATCGAGAGCTGGCTATGGGGGACATGTGGGGGAAAGAACAGAGGGTAGATTATCCCATTTGTAACAGGACCTTCACTGTCACTCATTTTTTTTTGTAAGTTTATTCTTTTAAGCCTTGTTTATTGACAGAACATGTGTAAGAATTCTGAAAATCAATGTCACTTTCCTTTGGGACAGGTGGATGTCTTAGAAAAATGAGACTTCCTAACACAAAAAAATAGTTTCAAGCAGTGGAAAGCTTCTGCTGTGCATTAAATCCATACTGGGGAGTTGGACGGGAGTTGGCACTCATTTTTACTGCTGATGGTTTCTGCTGTCACTCCAGTGAAAAATAAGTATTTCCAGTGTTTTGCATTTGACCATGTGTTCTCTACGTTTGTGATTTAGTCTCAAACAACCACCAAAATCCTAATGATCTCATTCTTAAAGGGAACTGGTAGCAGGGCCATCATTTGCTGAGAAATTAAATTGGTCTCAATTCCCAGAATAAGCTAGTTTTACAG